TCAACCAAACTCTAAAACAATTGTTAAAAACATATTGTTGGTTCTATTGGGAAAAAAAACTTAAGAAAAATGTAGAAGACATTAGTTAAATAAAACCTCTAAAATTCTAACAAAATTAAGAAGAATTGCATACTCGGATTAATTGTCTCGAAATAAACCTGAAAAAAAATATAACCATTAAAAAGGGCATGTTGAAGTTTGGTGATGCTACATGAAAAATTGTAACATAAAAACTTAAAAAATATCAATAAAAGTCAAAAGAAATACATACACACATTAGTTTTCTCAAAGTATACTTGAAAAAGATAACCATTACAAAAATATGTTGAAATTTGTTGAGGCTACTTCATGGTTTGTAATACTTTCAAGATTCTATCATCAAACGATTAATCGAACCATTGTTGCCACGAAAACTYTAAAAGTGTTGTMAAAAACAAAYTCTCYRTTTCATTGAGAAAACTTAGGAAAATCATAGAAGATAAAAGTAAGAAAAAACAAAATTCTAAAATCCCAAAAAAAATAGAAAGGAACGCATACCTGAATTGGTCTTCTCGAAATAAACTTGAAAATAGATTTGGTGAAAAATAACAATTTATAAAATAAAAAACAAATCAAGTGATAGAGATGGAGAAAAATGAAATGAAAACAAATCAAGTGATGGAGATGGAAAAAAAGAGATTGAATGATGAATAATTTATGAAGTAGAGTTAGGGAAAATGAAAAGATTGTGTTAAATGCAAACATAATGATAATCAATGTTTATAGAAATTAGAATGTGAAATTAAAAAAAAGATTAAATAAGGATGAATGAAAAAAAAGATAAATAAGTTTCTAACCCTTAGGAGAAGCCAAGTCATCAACCTTGGTTTCTCCTTTAATATATATATTTAATATATATATAGATTGTCTTATTTTCGATGATCCTATTTGAAATCTATAACCATGGTTGGAATCAAAACCAACCAAATGGTAAAAGTCATTAGTACAAAACTAAAAGTGAAACCACGGATGATGACTTGGCAACATGAGGTTTGATTATTCCTCAAATCTGAAATAATGTTGACTTTCATCTTTTAACAGTGGTAGAAAGATGATAGTTTGAAAGAAGATGATGGACGTATAAAAGCGTGATGGAGCTTTGAAATTTATAAGAAGATGATGGATGTATAAAAGCGTGATGGAGCTTTGAAATCTACAACAATGGTTGAAATCGAAACCAACCAATTGATAAAAAAATTTGTGCAAAACGAATGCAAATGATACATTTTTTTTTTCTTAACAAAAGTTGTGATCATTGGAATACTTAAAATAACAAATGTAGTTTAAGTGTCTATTATATCACTTTTATATACATAGAACGAAAGTGTTGACTTAATGACGTGCTTTCATCTGATGTTAGTATTCAATAAATCATGATTTACGGTGTTGGATGAGGCATTATAAATATAAATACAATCCAGAGTTTTCAGACACATCACACGAGGCTTTTACGTTTTTTTCTTAAATTGAGTTTCAAACACTAGTTTATATTAGTTTAGTATCTAATATACGATCATCAACCATTTATCATTCAATATTTTTCTTAAAATAACCGTCACCGCACAATGGACGGTTCCGAACACTAGTATATAATAAAAATTAATTAGCTTGTGAATTTCTTTTATTTTCCAATATTTATCATTTATTATTTTATACACAAAATGGGGATGTACGTGTCCAAATAATTCATTCGCAATTAATGGCATTGTGACGTTTTGATGTCTGAATTAAATAAGCAACGTGAGTCGTTCGAATCTCATTCACATTTAATAACATATTCTTGTAGGGGCGCGATCAAATGCAAATCACTCAATTTGTACAAATCGTGCAAACCGCATTCAACCAATCATAATTTTTCATTTTGTTCATTTTTTTGTAAATATGAGAGGTTGATTAATCATTTTTATTGTGAAGGGTGTTAATCATAGATATTATCATCTTCATTATTTTAATTTTAGAGAAATACATGAAACAGTTTCATT